CCTAATCAGCCCCTGACTTGGGGAAGTGCCCCAAGTGCTTGTACTGGGTCTAGCACCCATTGGACGATCAGGCCTGTGTTTTCCAAGGTGCGCAGAGCCAGAAGTGAGTCCAGAGCCTTGGATGGTGGTAGTGGGAGCCCCAGGCTAGCGGGTGTGCTCCAGGGAAGGGGCCAGCCGGACGGGAGGCACTCGGAGCCTGGAAGGTGGTCAGGCGCAGGGAGGTGGGCGGCTGAACGCAGGAGCACCCCCTACTGGCCCGCCACAGTTTCCCTGCTGCCATGTGCTGCAGCAGATGGGCAAGACGGAGCAGGGTCTGACCCAGGACATGGCAGCTCTTCTGTTCTTATGATGCATGAAGTCAGCAGGGCCTGATGAAATTCACCCTGGAGAACATGGAGGGGAACTATCTTATGGGTCCACTTGGGACAGACCAAGTGCAGAGGCATGGGGAAGGGCAAGTGTGGAGCTTGGGTAGAAGCAGCATTGCTTGCTGTTTTGCAGGTCTTTTGAATCTGGTCCTCTGACTTTAGGAGCATCACATGATTGCTTTTGGGAAGATGAAGGGCTAGAAGACACAGCCCCTTGCACTGGATTGCACTGATGTATGGGGTTGTTTTGCAGCCAGATCTGGCACATGGGGTTGGGCTTTTTAGCAGGATGGGGCCATAGCCAGATGCAGCTCATGGGGTCCAGCTGGCACGTGGGGTTGCTCCATGGCTGCATCTGGTACATGAAGCCTGCCCAACAGATTGACTCTGTGCACTGAGCCCAGGCTGGATGTGGCCTGCAGACCAGCCCTGTGCATGGGACACTGCTGTAGAGCACTGCTGCACTGGGCAGAGCTGTGGGGGGTCCTGCCACAAATGAACCTGCCCTGGCCACAGGAGCTGGAGTGGCTCAGAGGGTCTGGCCAGCTCCAGCTGCCACAACGCAGTCTGTGGAGCCTTGGCCTCCAGGCTCCCTTGTAGCCAGCCCCGGACACAGTCCTGACTGGGATGGCCGGGTAGACTTGGACACTCTGCAGCCTGGACTGGTTCTCCTACTGCGGTGAGAGCCAAGAATGACTGGACAGGTCTCTATGCTCTCACTCACCTACACAGGTCCCATTCTTTTCAATGCGACGCCATTCACTCCAAATGTCCGGCATTGTCCAGATACCCAGATCCTTTGGATATTGCGCCACACAGCGGATCACGGGTGGGGACGGCCAGGTCCCATCAAGGCAGCTCAGCCTCACTGCCTCATGCCGTCTATAAAATTGCTGGTCTGGGGCAAACTGAAGTCTTGGGTCCCACTGGGGCCTGCGGCATTTCTCTGCAGAGACATGAGGCCCAGATGTTAGTGAGGGATGTGCCCTGGCTTGGCCAGGATGGGTTTGGGGCTGTGGGTTGATTGCCCAGGAGCTCTGGGAGCCCTTGGCCTGGGGCAGCTATCTGGGGGTGGAGCACAGAGACAGGTCTTGCATGGATCCCAACCCCATCCAGCCCAAGGGATGGGGGTGTCAGGGGCTCCCCAGCCACATGAGGAAGCACCAGGGACCCAAACTTCTGCAGCAGCCTGGGCTTGGACCTTGCACTGACCCAGGAATGTCCCAGGGAGATGCAGGGTGTAGGAATTGGCCATTGGGCTGCAATGGGGAACACTCTCGCTGTCCTCACCAGTCACCTTGGCCAGGCCAGGGATGTCTCCTGGTCTGGACGGACCCCACACTGGAGGCTTTAGCCAGGATGGAAGTGAGTCAGGCAGGGAAATACCCATCCTGCAGCTGGGGAGCTGGATGGGGGCTGGCCCTGACTGTGGTACTCTCCTGATGTTCCAGTGAAGTGGACCAGAGCAGGAATTTCTGCTTCAACTCAACACACATCTCTCTCTGAGGATCACTGGGCTCCCCCTGCTCCTAGCACCTGTGGAGAGCTCAGGCCCTGGGCTCACATCCCCCCTCCAGGCCTGTCTATATATGTGTCTGCGCACAGCACTCACCGATGCAATTCACTTGGCTCATGTTCCACTCAGGACGCCCGGCTCTGTCCACACACTGCAGCCAGCCTGAGCCCCCCTCAAACTGCTCCTGGCGACAGCTCACCTGGACCTTCTTACCGAGTGCAAGCTCTGTCGGGATGTAGCCTGTAAACATGAGCTGGAACCAGTTTCTTCTAATCGTACAAAACCCTGGAGGGAAAGAAAGATCCTGTTTAAGCAACACAGCTCCCTAATGATGCTTCCCTCCCATGCGGGGCCGTGCCAGCTGCACAACTCATTGCCAGCCCCTCTCCCTTCAGCTGAGAGGATGTTCACCCCCTGCTTAAACTGTGCCCCTCACTCGTATCCTTCTCTTCCCCCCCACCTCAGCCAGTGTCCCTGCCAGATGCCCCATGGCATCAGGCACCCGCCCAGCCCTTTGCCTCCTCCCCCCCAGCACACACATCGCCTGACAACTCAGCACCCTCCCAGGTGTCATGATGTTTGCCCCATCTGTCCTCAGCTGCCTGTGCAGCCCTCCAACCTACCATATTACGGTGTAGATGCTCCCTCGCGACAGTAGCCCTCAGCCCCAGGACCCCCCACCCCAGCACCTTTCCTGCTCCATGAGCTGCTCCCTTCCCCTTTTTCCCCAGAGCTGTGCCTCCTTTTGCTGGTGAGGGGCAGCAGGAGCCAGCACCAGGGCTGAATTGGGTCCCTCCTTTCAGCAGCACTGACAGCCATAGGGGCCCCTGTCCCTTCTGCTTTTCCCTTGCTCTGCCACTCCTAGTGCCACCCTCCACAGACACACCCCAGCCCCTCTGCCAGCTCCCGACCCAGACACCTTCCTGTCCTTGGCCCCAGCATTACCCAGTGGAGGGAGCCTGGGTCCCAGCTGTGGGGCATGGACCAGGGTAGCCCTGCACCAGGACACAGGCTGAGACGTCAGCATAGGAGCACAGGGGTTGTGCAGGAAGAAAGGCAGGTGGGAGGGAAGCCCAGGAGCTGCTGGTGCAGTAGGGGCCATGATGCAGGACACCAGACCCCTGAGAACCCCGTGACTCAAGGGGTCTCAAACCCACCATCACACTGGACACTCTCTGGACTCCAGGTCCCCGACCCTGTGCATGTGCTGTTGGGAACTGAGGGCCGAAAGCCCACAGAGCACCTCCACGTCACCGTGGCACCTGGATTGTAGAATGGCTGTTTCGGTCTGAACTCGGGCCAGCGGTCCCTGCTGTCTGGTGCTTGGCACTTTCCTGCAGAAGGAACACAGGGACAGTGTCACTGGGAAATGGCTCCAACCCCAGCTGGACCATGTGTGCTGTTTTCATCAGCCACGATGGAGCTGAGACTGCTGCAACCCACTGCCCAGTCACACGCAGACATCCTGCCTTTGACTGCTGCATGACAAGGGCCATTGTCACCCCCCACCCCCGCAATTCAGTGCCTTATGCATGTGATTCCCTGGGGGTACCCCATAATCTTCTTAATGTATGCACCCCCACCCTCCCAGAGTTGTGTGTGCTGCTGCCCCTAAGGACATAGCCTGCGTGCACCCCTTTCCAGGCTGAGAGTGCCTGGGATTCTGGATGGAGAACCATCCCCAGGAGAGGGGCTGAGGGCCCACCTGAAACACAGGGGTGATAATTCAGCCTGGCTTGGAGACAGGATGGTGTCAGTGAGCACCCAGCTGCCTGGCCGGGCCCTGCGACCATGGTGCTTGGGGGGGGCATGCTAAGTCTGGGAGGTGGCTGCCTCACTCCAGACACTGTGGCCCCTATTCCAGAGGCATCGGATCTTGGGCTGTGAGAGCTCATACACCCATGGGCTGCTCAGGATCACCATCTCTTCCCTGGCATAATATGGCTTGTCTGGTTCAAAGCTCAGAAGTGAGGCTCTGGTGGGTCTCTTGTACTTTTCTGTGGGAAGAAAACCTGGTTTTGGAGCATTGGTGAAGGATGAACTGCAGGCCCTCAGGCCAGGCCCTGTACATGGACATGCAGAGGGATGAGTGCTGCTCTTCCCCTACACGTGTGTGCAGCAGCACTTATACACCCCACCAGGCACATGCCAGTGCATGCTATGTCCAGCCTATCATAACCAGCACACACCCCTGAGCTCCACACTCCACCAATGCACACCCCCATGGTGTGCACACTAGGGCTGTGCAAAACAGCACCATTTTGTTTCAACTTCCATTTCACCATTTCACTGGGACAAAGTTTCATTTTGCGCTTCATTTTGTTTTGAAACCACTGTTCCATTTTGTTTCGTCAAAACTGTTTCCCTGTTTTGATGTTTTGCCCATAGGCTATAATGGGGAAGCACAAAACTGCCTATAACTTGGTAATTTCTTGCCTGATTCAGCTGAAACTTACAGGGATGGTAGCCCCTTCTGAGGCCATGAAGTCTGGCAAGTTTCAAGGAGGTAGATGCAGTGTTTTTTGGGAAACTGCACCTCAAGCTGCTGACAAGCAAAACTCATGATGCGTGACTGCATGTGTGTGTTAAGGCACGCCCTCACTGGCGCTGGGGGCTTACATGACACGGTAATGTTCGCCAATGAGGTCTCCTCTTCCCCTACAGCTGCAGCTCAGTCCACCACTTTAAATGACGACAGGTAATAAATAACTTAGTAAGCACCACAGTAGCGCCAGCAGCATCTCAGGCAGCCAAATAGTCACAGTCAATATCAGAGCAGTCCTTCCCCCTGCTTCCTCCTCCATCTCCTTACTTTCTGTTTCCCTGCAGGCAAGTTCAGCTTTAGCTTCAAAACTTGAAACTTTTTGAAACTTTCAAAATGTTTTGACTGCCCTTGTTTCTTTTCGAGGCTGTTTTGAAGCCCTTTGTTTCATTTCGATTTCCCTGTTTCAAGCTCGAAATGAGTCAAAACATCAAAACAAAACAGCCGATGAAATTTTGCACGGCCCTAGTGCACACCTACACCACACATAGGCCTTTCTAAGGGGTATGATGATAATGACAATATTCCCCTTCTGTGCTGCTTTATAAGTTCAGATCTTGGCCTGATGGGCCCAGCACTGTCAGTGCAACATCCCAGGCATGTGTAGCCCGAGTTGGACCACTCCATGAGCCCTCGGCAGAGATGAACATTGCATCACTGACCCCTTTGCCAGGCATGAGCATGCACAGGGGCAGTGGGAAAATTCGTGGGAAAATGGTGTGATTGACAGCGGGGTTAGGCGCAGTCCTGAGGGCAATGCAGAGATGAACGCTGCTGAGGAAAGGATGTTGCAGCTTGGTTGAGTGGCAGGATGGTCATCAAGAAGACAGCAATGCAGAGTGTGTGATTGGAGGGTGATAAGATGGTTACCAACAGCCCATGGCTATAAAACACCAGTGCAGGGGCATCTCGGGGCACATCTGCGTGTTGTGGGAGACCAGCCAGACCATTCCAGACCTGGGTTTGTCTGAGGGAGCAAGTGTGAGCACACATGCAGCACGTGCATGGATCAAGCTGTGTGCTTGTGTGCCGGAGAGTTGAGGAGGGGTTGGGCTGTGGGCATGCGGGAGGGCTGGTTGGTGTCTGAGAGTGTGGCCAGAGCTCCTTGGGCTAGCTCTATCTTTTTTCCACCCCATTTAGGACCATAGTTTCATAGATGTTTGGGTCATAAGGGACCTCAAAGGATCATTGAGTCCGACTCCCTGCCCTCCCAGTGGCAGGAGAAAGTGCTGGGGTCATCTGACCCCAGCCAGGTTCTTTTCCAGTCTCCTCTTGCAGACCCGCAAGGTAGGGGAGAGCACCACCTCCCTTGGAAGCCTGTTCCAAATTCTGGCAACCCAAACTGTGAAGAAGTTCTTCGTGATGTCCAGCCTAAACCCACTCTCCATCAGCTTGTGGCCATTGTTTCTGGTTATTCCAAGGGGTGCCCTGGTAAACAGAGCATCTCTTATTCCCTGCTTCCCCTTGCTTCCCCTCCCCCTACACCCCCAGTGAAGTTGTATACTGCCACAAGACCCCCTCCTCAGCCTTCTCTTGTGGAGGCTGAAAAGGTCCAGGTTCCTCAGCCTTTCCTCATAGGGCCTGCCCTGCAGGCCTCTAACCATATGAGTGGCCTCCTCTGGATCCTCTCAAGGTTGTTCACATCCATCTTGAATTGCAGTGCCTACAGTTCAATGCAGTACCACAACTGCAGCCTGACTAGTGCCGCATAGAGGGGGCGCATCACCTCCCTGGACCGGTTCATGATGCACCTACTAATGCATGACAAAGTGTGGTTAGCTCTGCTAATTGCTTCATCACATTGATGACTCATATTCGTCTTGGAGTCGACAACAACTCTGAGATTTCTTTATGCCACTGTGCTGCTGAGAAGGCCATCCCCCAGCCTGAAGGTGTGCTGGTGATTCCCTTGCCCTAGGTGCAGCACCTTGCACTTGTCCTTGTTGAACTGCATCCTCTGCCCACTTCTCTAAGCTGTCCATGTCCACCTGGATTTGATTTTTTCCCATCAGTGTGTTTGCTTCATCCCATAGTTTGGTGTCACCTGCAAACTTGAACAGAGTGCTTTCCATGCCCTCATCCAGGTCACTGATGAAGATATTGAACAGCACTGGCCCAAGGACCGAGCCTTGGGGGACCCCACTTCTCACATCTTTCGAGGTTTCGTAGTTTCATAGTTTCATAGTTGGTCGGGTCGGAAGGGACCTGAACAGATCATCAAGTCCACCCCCTGCCATGGGCAGGAAAGAGCACTGGGGTCAAATGACCCCAGCTAGGTGTTCACCCAGTATCCTTTTGAAGACCCCCAGGGTAGGAGCCAGCACCCCTTCCCTTGGAAGTTGGTTCCAGATCCTAGCCACCTTGACAGTGAAGTAGCGCCTCCTGATGTCTAGTTTGAATCTGCTCTCCGTCAACTTATGACCATTATTTCCTGTTATGCCTGGTAGTGCTCGGGGGAACAGGGACTCTCCCAATGCCTGCTGGTCCCCCCTGTTCAGTTTGGAGACAGCCACCAGATCCCCCCTTCACTTTCTTTTGTGGAGGCTGAACAGGTTCAGGTCCCATCGCCTCTCCTTGTAGGGCCTGCCTTGCTGCCCCCTGACCATGTGAGTGGCCTCCTCTGGACCCTCTCCATGCTGTCCGCATCCCTCCTGAAGTGCGGTGCCCAGAACTGGACGCAGTACTCCAACTGCAGCCTGACCAGTGTCGTGTAGAGGGGGAGGATCACCTCCTTGGACCTGCTCGAGATGCATCTGTGGATGCACGACAAGGTGTGGTTAGTCGTACTGACCATGTCCTCACATTGGCAGCCCATATTCATCTTGGAGTCAATAGTGACTCCAAGATCCTTTTCTGTCTCTGCACTGACAAGAAGGGCATTCCCCAGCCTGTAGGTGTGCTGCTGGTTCCTCCCCCCCAGGGGCAGCACCTTGCACTTGTCAGTGTTGAAGCCCATCCTGTTCTCATCCACCCACCCCTGTCACCTGTCCAGATCTAGTTGCAGCCTATCCCTCTCCTACAGTGTGCCCACTTCTCCCCACATTTTGGTGTCATCCGTGAATTTGAACAAGGTGCTTTTCACCCCATCATCCAATGAACAGTGAAGGCCCAAGGACCGAGCCCTGGGGGACCCCACTGCCCACATCCCTCCAGGTCAAAAATGACCTGTCCACCACCACTCTCTGGGTGCAGGCCTCCAGCCAATTTGTGGCCCATTTGACTGTGTAGGTATCAACACCACAGTCGCCTAATTTTTTAATGAGAATGGGGTGAGAGACAGTGTCGAAGGCCTTCCTGAAGTCCAGAAAGACTACGTCCACCGCGACACCTGCATCCAAGGATTTTGTGACCTGTCCACCACCACTCTCTGGGTGCGACCCTTAAGCCAATTTGCCACCCACATGACTGTGTAACAGCTGTTCAATTTGTTTATAAGAATAGGATGGGATACCATGTCGAAGGCCTCGTTAAAATCCAAGTAGATGACATCTACCTCGACTCCTGCATCTAAGCATGTAGTGACCTGGTCACAGAAAGAAACAAGCTTAGTCAGGCAGGATCTACCTGCTATGTACCCATGCTGGCTGCCCTTCAGCATTATATTACCTGCTGGACTCCTACAAATATGATCCTTGATATTTTTTTCAAGGGTTTTTCCAAGGATAGAGGTGAGACTAACCGGCCTATAATTACCTGAATCCTTCTTCCTTCTCTTCTTGAAAATAGGGACCACATTGGCCTTTTTCCAGTCCTCTGGGACCTCATCTGAGCACCAGGACTGCTCAAACAGTCATGCTAGTGGCTTTGCTATGACACTGGCCAATACTTTCAGCACCCTTGGATGGAGCTCATCTGGTCCTGTTGACATAAACACATCCAACCCCTCCTAGTGTCTCTTTACTAGGTCGGTGCTGACAGTTGTTGGGCTGGTATTCCTCCTGCTTTTGTCAGTAATGTATTTGGGAGATTTGTCTAGATCCGAGTTCAAGAATACAGAGGCAAAAAACTCATTGAAGAGCTCAGCTTTGTCCCTCCTATCTGTCACCAACTTGTGGGGGTCCTATGCTGCCCTGTGCCTTCCTTTTGTTCCAAAAATACCTGAAGAAGGACTTTGTTGCTGTCCTTAATTTTTGTCTCCAGCTTAAGGTCTACACCTGTGTCCTGTATCAACCCCTCTGCATTCTCTGTGCACAGAACTCAGCAGTGCAGCTCACGTGCATCGTGTCCCACTCGGCACGCTCAGCCTGCTCCACTCACTGCATCAGCAATGAGCGCTCCTGAAACTGATTGTGGAGACAGATCACCTGCACCTGCTCGCCCACTGCAAACTTCATCTGCGAGGAGACAGCCGAGACAGATGGGGCCCAGTTCCCAGCTCTTGTACAAACCCCTGGAAGGAAAGGCGGAAGATCCCCTCTGAGCAACACCGCTCCCTAAGGACACCTGCCTCCCCCAGGCTGAGCAACCTACCCCATGGGTTACAACAGCCCTTCTAAAGGGACCAAGATCCTCATCCCTTAGGACAGAGAATGGACAGCAACTTCATCCTTCAGCCCTCCCTGATGGGTCAGAAGCTGCCAGTGCTAAGATCCTTCTCAAAAGGCAGCAGGCTTCAGGGGAAGTGGAGCTGGCTCATGGCAGCTGCCCCACAACTGGGGCTAGAGAGGCAGCCTGGGTCCACGCAGGCACCCAGGGGCTTCAGGGGGTGGAGTTGGTGCTGCCCCCAGGGAAATATGAACTTTCATTTCTACCTAGGATAACTTTTACAATCTTTTCTCCTGTGCCTGAAGAAGGGCGCTTGCGCCCAAAAGTTTGCAATTAAGGAAATTTTTGCAAAAATCTAGTTGGTCTAATAAAATATATCACTTCTACCATGATTCATAGATTCATAGATGTTAGGGTCGGAAGGGACCTCAATAGATCATCGAGTCCGACCCCCAAGTTCTGATTCTTTTTGCCTCTAGACCAATACAGCTGCAACCGAGATACCGAGATACCTTGCGTGCACCAACAAAGCATGCCTTGGGCAGCAGTTCCACACCAGCTCCTGCCTGGTCTTGCCCAACAACCAGCTTGAATTGCAACAGAGCTTTAGTATCCCCCACAGGGAACAGGAATCCTTTTGCAAGAATGTGAAGTGAAAGAAGAACAGGCTGAACAGGGGTGGGAACAGGGGCTGTGCTAGACAAGCAGTGCATGGTAGAGCAGCCAGGCTGGCAGGGCCCTCCTGAAGTCGCCTCCCATCCAGCCCCTGCTCTAGGCAGGATCTGTCCCATTCAGACACATCTGCTCCTAACCCGATGCAGCAGCACAGCTGCACAGTACCAGGATCCACTGACCAGAGACACCAAGAGCCTAAAACCTGCCCTGGGGGAGCCAGGGAAGATGCCTGCCAGGGCCGTGCTGCTGCAAGGGGTGCTCTATGCACTGGAGACAGCCAAGGAAAGATCGAGGAACATCCATCTGCAGACACAGGGCAGTGCCTGTTCTGTCCCCCGATGCCCAGGAGAGCTGGAGCATCACCTTGCCTGCAGGACTTGGAGAAGGGGCTGGGCTGGCTCCTGCCTGGGAAGATTTAGGAACATAGGAGCCTGATACTCTGGGTATACTTGGGCTAGATGGCTCTCAAAACCATGAGCTGCTATGGGACTGCCAGCACAGGGAGTCAATAGCCCTATGACACAGAGGCTTTGGCTCTTGGCTCAGGTGAGGGCAGGTGCAGTACGGGGCTGTTGGCTCAGCTGTGTTCACTGCTGCCAACAGGTAGCTGGGATGGGCCACTGGGCCATCCTCAGGTGGGGTGAGGATGAGGTGTGGAAGCTCATGGAGCTTGTCTTAGGTGTGCTTGTGCATCTTGGTCCCCAGAAACACACATGGACCTGGCATTCCTTTGGCTGCACGAGGAATTCCTGTGGCTGCACGAGGAAGCCCAGTCCCCTGCCTTCTCTCGGCTCTCTGCCTGGAGCCTAAGTCCCCCAGGCTCTGGCATGGATTAGAGTGCAGCCCCCTCCTGGGACCACTGCACCCAGACCGGTGGGCAGAGCCCAGCAGCCACTTCCCAGGGGAGCAGCAAACCTGAGTTGGGTCCTACCTGGACTCTTGTCTCCTTCCTGGCTGCTGGGACTGGATGGTGCTGGTTCCCATGCACACATGAGGGGTGGAAGAGCCAGGAGCATGGCCAGAGCTGGCACCTGCAGGGCCATGTCACTGCAAAGTCCCAGGACTGACTTCAGCCTTGCACTGCCTCTGAGCCCTTCTAATCACTTCTGCAGGACTCAGCAGGCACGAGAAATGAACACAGGAAGGAACTAGATATATATAATCTTTGTATGTGGTGCAAGAGGCTTTCTTATTGGAGATGGAAGCCCCCGGCAGTGTTAGAGCTGCTCGTTTCCCTCTCGGGTGCTGTGTCACAGGGGCAGAGGGAGTCTAGTCTCCTTATATGATGGGACCCAGTGTTGGCCATGGCCACAAGGGTACAAACTCCATGAGGGGTTAGATACTGAATCCAAGGAGAGTTTCATTTCATAATTAGGAAAAAGCCATGGTCAGAGATCTGAGGAAGAACTGGGCTCAGGCAGGCTGGCTGGCACTCCCACCCTCAGCACCTAGAGAGCCAGAGCTTTCAGAAAAGGGATCTTTGCAGAGCCATCCAGAAGGCAGAGTGCAATTCATTGACCACCCCCAGCCCCTCTGTTATCCACCAGAAAACAACCCACCCCAAAACCCGATGTGCACTGGGGACCATCCAAACGAACAAAACACCCACATGATCCTGACACCTGGCCTGGGCTCAAGGCTGTTCACCCTGTGCACTAAGGACCTGGATGCAGGGAGGGAGAGCATCCTGGGAGAGAGTGCACAGAACCCAGAGACTGGAGGGATACAGGTGCACTGGAAGGCAGGACCCACATGCAGGGGGATCCAGGCAGACACGTAGGCTGCAGGCACCACGGTGATGTTCAACAGAGGCAGACGCCAGGGGCTGCTCTCAGGAAGGGAACCCAGATGCACTGCAAGTGTGGGCTGGCTGCCCAGCATAGGAATAAGACATAGAGGGTATGGCAGTGTGATTTTTGCTATATCTAAATGTGGCAGAATGCCATCTCAGTCTCTCCCCAAACTCTGCTATCAGGCTTATGACCTATCTGACAATTTGGTTACCATGGTCACTGCAGAGGGCAGACACCTCTGGCCCCATCAGTTTCAGGTAACCCTGAGTGGTAACGTGAGCTGGATACATTCCTGAGGGAGGGGGGAACCTGGTTCCTCTGCTTATATGACTGGTCTCACACATCTGGGTGGGGGACTTGAGCTCCCAATTGTTCTAAGCAATGTCATCGTGCCTGGGAGGGGGCTAGAGACCCTGCCAGTCTATCCAGAAACCAGTGATGCATTTCAAATTGGTTGGCTGGCAGCTAACAACTGCTGGCCTACATTGGATCAGGTAAATGAGGTCATAAGGGCTATATAAGTTAAAGACTGCCCAGGAGGAGTGGTAGCAGCCCTGATGAGGACTTTCAGAGAAGCTGGACCATCTGAAACTCTCTCTCTCTTGAAACTCATGGTCAATGAACTGCTTGCCTCCAGAGGAAAGCTCTATCAGCCTCTGGATGATACTCATGAGCAATGTTCCCTCTAAGGAGTAGTGATTCATGAGCGCACCACTTCTGTCTGTGAGTGTGCCGCTTTGGTCCGAGAGCGCACTGCTTCAGTCCCGCCTCCCCCTTTCAGTGCGGCGTGGGACACTTAAAAAAGGTCAGCTCCTCACTCTTCACCAGGGCAGGCAGCAGAGTCTGGAGCCTGGGGGGCTGGAGCCTGGGCCTGGAGCCTGCCTTCCCTGAGTGAGGCTCCGCTGGGGGCTGGAGGCTGGTGAGGGCTCTGCGGGCTCCCAGAAACTGCTGTGTTCCCCTGCATTGCTTTGGGGAGTGAGGAGGCACGTGGCATCAGGGCCAGGGAGCAGAGCACTTCCTAGAGCCCATGGAGCAGTTCTTCTGGGCTAGCAGAGCCCACGCCAGCCCCTGCCCCAGCCTCCATCCCTGCTTTGCCTCACCTCAGGGAGGAGCTGCTGCCTGCCCTGAGTGAGACTCTCCGGCTCTGAGGAACTGGTCTGCGGGCTCCGCCTGCTCCGGGAAATGCTACGTTGCATCCTCGCTCCCCTAGGCAATGTGGGGGAGCGGAGCAGCTCCCCAGAGCCGGCGGAGCCTGCACCAGCCCCCGCCTCTGCCTAGGGGAAGAGCTTACCTTTACCAAGTGTCCCACGCCACAGCCCAGCTCCATTCCCGGTGGGTGCGCGGCCTGAAAAGGCTTGTGCGTGGCCAAACTTTTACTCGTGCACAGCCGCGCATGCATGTACCTTAGAGGGAACCTTGCTTGTGAGTAAGCTACTTGAGCTCTAAATAGATATATAGCTTGCAGTAACTCAGATGTGTGATCAAAGGCATTTCTCTGATATTGCTCTACCCTGTACCTTCTTCCAAACCTACTCCTTGTAATCAATAAAGGTCTTCTCTGTACCTAGTGTGGGAGACTTACTGGGAGAGCATCTAGATTATGTCTGGGGGTCCCTTGGTTCCGCTGACTAAGGGAGGCCACTATTTGTGCTGCAGACTAAGGGAAGCGCCCCAAGTTCTTGCAGTGGGTTGAGTCCTCTCTCAGACTAAAAGGCCCATGTTTCCCAGGAGGCATGGGGCCAGGAACAGTTCAGACCATGGGTGGTTGCAGCATTACCCCCAGGCTTGCGGATGTTCTCCAGGAAGGGGGTCGGCCAGATGTGAGGTGTCCCCAGGGAGGCACTTGGAGCCTGGAAGGTGGTTTGGCACAGTGAGCTGGGTGGCTCAATGCCAAAGCACCCCTACTGGCCCGTCACACTGACCGTGAACTGAGCAAGTGCTTACCAGCACAAATGAGAATAACATTGAAACCATCATACTTAGCCTTAAGGACATCACTATGATATCTGTATGCAAACCACCATCTAGTATTTTCCAGTGGAACAATCTACCTGACAGTAGCACACACAAGTACAGCCTTGTGATCAGTGACTTTAACTCCCATAACAGAGCATGGGGATATGATAACAACGACAATGGCATCCTAGCTGAACAGTGGGCAGAGACCGGTATTCTGATGCTAGTGCGTGATGCTGAACAAAGCAAATCATTTAATAGCAGTCACTGGAGAAGAGGATACAACCCAGTCTTTAGCTTCATGAGCAGTGGAATCAGCCAGATGTTCAAACAGGCAGTGTTGGGGCCCATACCTCACACCGAACATCGCTCTAGAAGTATCAAAGTAGGGTCCCCAGTAATGGTGCAAAACACTCCCTTCTGAAGACATTTCAATCTGAAGAAAGCCAATTAGGCATCCTTCACAGAGGAAATGGAGCAGTCAATCAGGGATATTACACTGACCCATGAGAATTATAACAATTTTGTGAGGGTTGTGAAGAGAAGTGCATATCACTTCGGCCCAATGGGCTGCTGCACAAGATATATCCCAGGCATGTTGAGCTCAACATCAGATCTGTACATGCTGTATGAGAAAGATTACCACCTTGACCCCTTCTCAGAATCCACCGCTACACTGGGTGAAAACCTAATAGATACCATAGGAGTAGAGAGATGCAACGCCTGGAAAGGGATGATAAAGGACACCAATCTGGCACAGAACAGTAAGAAAGCTTTGGTGACTATAAGAAAACTAGGAAGTGACAACATCACACCTCTGGCCATAGACAGTTGAAGATCAGGGCTAATGAGGTTTGGCCCCCCAAACATGAGGCAACAGTGGCAGTGCAGAGGGTCACAGGGCAGCCCAGGCACAGGCTCCGGATGGCTGCAGCACAGTACATGCACACAGACACTTAGTCTCTGCCTGCACAAAGCCAGGAGCACTGCCCACCACAGCAGGCAAGTCTTTGAAGGGTAAGGAGCATGGTGTGGGAGATTTGGGGGGACAAATCAAGGTCCCCACAGTGAGGGAGGGAGTGGGGCAGAGGCAGGGGAGGGGGCTGGGGTGAATGGGTCTCTGGGGTGGGTCATGGGATGGTCAGAGCCTAGGTGCCTTGTCCATGAGCACGGGGTGGAGGCCCCAGCTGCTGCGTGCATCCTGGGAGAGGCATCGGGAGCACATGTCCCCCGGATTTCTGCATGGGGTGGAGGCAGGCTGCTGCTGTGGGCTGGGTTCTGCACCATGCTGCCTTTGTGCTGGGACCTGCAAAATGCCATGTGCCTGCTGCCACCGGGCTGGCAGGGGACAGAGCTCATCCCTGTGGCTGCAGGCATGTGGTATTGTGTGGCTCCTGGGACAGTGGAAGCAGGGCAGAGAGCCCAGTCCACAGTGGCAGCTTCTTTCAGACATTGTGCCCAAAAACTTGTGAAGTACATTTTTCAAACTTTTTATTTGGTCTAATAAAAGATATCACATCCACCCAAAGAACCTTGCCTGTCTTTCAGACAGTGGAAGTCAAACCTAAGGAGGAAAATGAGAAAGGGCAGATACCCCAGGCAATCAAATGTCAGACTGTAATGAGACAAAGCCAGGAAGAAGTGGAGGAGAAATGAGTGAGAGGCACAGAAGGTGACAGGAAACATTCCTGAAGCCCATGGAAAGACAAAGACCTGCCAGGGAGTCAGTTGGGCCTGTGGATGGTCAGGGTGTCCAAGGGGCATGAAACGATGACAGGGCATGTTCCAGGAACTTGAAGGCATCCTTTGCATGCGTCTTCGCTGCGGGAGATGTCAGGGAGATTCTGTCCCCAGGCCCACTCCTCTCTAGGGACAGGTCAGTGGATCTGACCCCAACTGAGGCTTCAGTAGATGAGGTCATAGAGGAGACTGAGAAACTCATGTCACCTTTCTGCCAGGTGCCAGATGGCAGCAAGCAGGGCCACATTCACGTGAGGGCTCTACACAAATTGATTAACTCAAGCCCCCACCCGCAACCGGGTAAAATCGTTTCTCTCTTGGTGTCCCAATGGGAACATCTTTCCCTGCTCTCAAGCAGCTCCAACTCTAACAGGGTCAGAGCGCCATCAGGGCTGACCACACCACCCAAAAGGAAAGGGTGAAGCACGGGGGGCAGGGAGCCGCACAAAAAGTATGCCAATAGAGTCACTCTTGAGCCCTAAAGGAACCACTGATCACCATCTTCAGGGTTACACCCAATGTGAACAACAAGTTGTGGCGGGCGAACAGACCCAGGTATGATGCAGCCTGTGGCAGAAATGCCACTGTCGGTGCCCCTCTCCAGAGATCTGTCTCAGCCAGCCTGAGAGGCTGCTGTTGAATCCCTCACAGCGGGGATCTCGCTCCTTGTCTGCAGACAAAAGCCTGGCGCCTGGGAGGCGATGCTCTGGTCACCTGGGCAGGGGGGGGAAAGACCCGGCCCTGCGCGCGGGCCCAGGTAGCCAGGGATGCTTTGCAGATGAGTAACCTACTCGAGATCCGATCAGATATTTAGCTTCAGTAACTCAGATGCGTGTTGAAACGGCTACCTCAGCCACCCTGGTTTGCTCTATGGGATTCCTTGATATTCCTGTAAGATTTCTATGATATTGCTCTACCTTTTACCCTGTTTCCGCCCTACCCCTGTAATCAATAAAGTTCTCCTTTGTGACCGGTGTGGAGACTTATTGAGGGGTGGGTCTAAATTATGCCAAGGAGGCCCCTTAGGTCGGTGGACTAAGGGAGGCTTCCTAATCAGCCCCTGACTTGGGGAAGTGCCCCAAGTGCTTGTATTGGGTCTAGCACCCATTGGACGATCAGGCCTGTGTTCTCCAAGGTGCGCAGAGCCAGAAGTGAGTCCAGAGCCTTGGATGGTGGCAGCGGGACCCCCAGGCTAGCGGGTGTGCTCCAGGGAAGGGGTCGGCCGGACGGGAGGCACCCCAGGGAGGCACTCGGAGCCGGGAAGGTGGTCGGGCGCAGGGAGGTGGGCGGCTCAACACAGGAGCGCCCCCTACTGGCCTGCCACTCAGCCCAACATGCTAGGCCATGTCTATCAGCAAGTATGGTGGGTGTGAGCCTTTCAAAGTCATCAACAGATTCTTTAAAAACTCTTTACTTAACCCGTGGGAGTGATCATCCTGGACTGTGAGGGTTATCAGCCAAGAGAAAGGGAGGTGGGCTGACAGAGAGCATTATGAACATTTTAGTAATCAAACAGAAGTCCACCCTACACCTGACTGCTACCAGTTCAGCACAGTCAGTATGTTTAAAGCTCTCACTCAGTCCAATGCTGGTGGGGCAGTGTAGCCAGCAGAGCCCATGCAGCTCCTAGACCAAGGTAGCCCTTGTCTCACCACTACTGGGGCACTGCTCCACCGTGACTCCTCTTCTGGTGGCAGAGGGAACCCTGCTCTCATAGGTGCAGGCTCAACTCTCTGAGGATTTGGCAAACAGGATTCTGCCTGAATTGCAAGTACACTATAGACTTCAGCCCTTTTACACCCAGGGATAACAGGTTCCAGCTGAACCCACTAAAGGGATTTGCACCTCACCAATGTGCATTCCTTTCTGGGTGGATGGTGAGATGCAATGCCACCCCCAGACAACTCCAGTCTGCGGCCTCTTCACCCACCCAGACTATGGTGAGAGGACTCAGGAAGCCACTCCCAGGGAAGAGAACCTGGGACCTGCATAGGAAGCAAGCTAAGTCCCCTAGAAACTTTCTTTTGTGTTTTCCTTTCTATTTGAAGCCTGGTCACTCCTTTGAGACGGGACTGGTGCTTGTATTGCATGGTTTACATTTTCCCCCGGAGTGCTGGGTTGTGGCTGTAGGGGAGGCAGAGCCCATTGAAAGGAGGTGACTGAAGACACCCCAAACTTGATATTCCACTGAGTGGATGGAGTAAAGCAGGTTCTGCGGCTGAATGAGGCTGAGGTTGCCCAGCCTTGAAGGGAGGAGGTGTCAGGGGAAAAACAGTGCAGGGTTGGAGGACTCTGGGCATGCAGCACAAATGGGACCCATTTTGCTGCACCCCCAAGTCCCATAACTGGTCCAGATGCCTATGTTAATCCCCCGATGCCTGGGGATCTCAGGAGCTGTCCCTGAAGCTCTGCCACCTTGGCTTGCTGAGGGAACAGGGTTAATTTGCACGGCCAGCTGGGCCATGACTCAGGCCTGCAGGGAGGAGTCTGGGATGCCCCTCCTGGCAACTCCTGGCACTGCTGGCAGAGGGGTCTGCATCTGGCTGTAGATGTCCAATGGGCCCTGGGGCTGCAGCTCTGTGGTGGCAGAAGAAGGAAAGCATCACTGTCCCAGCAGAGCCATTGTTCTGGGTTGGGCTCCACAGGGTGCTCAGCCCATCCTGCTTCCCCCCAGAAATGGGATGCTTGTGTGGCATGGGGTCCTGGAAAAACCAGCATCCACCCTGTTCTGGGGACTGCTGTGCCCCTCAGCCAGCCCCCACCCAGGAGGGTCCTTGCTTCTCTCACATGGCCCCCTAGATCCCAGCCCTCAAAAGCTGGCACCAGCCAGGGTTACATGCATGTTTGGGGGTGGGAACACCGGGCTCCTACCTTCATAGTGCTCCTGCTCTGTGCTGCTTCTTGCAGCCTGGTGCCGCCTGCAAGAGAAAAGAGAGTCCTGGACCTGGGCAAGAGGCCATGGAGAAAGCTAGTGCTCAACTGCACCTCTGAGCCACACCCTGGGCCTAGCACAGCTCCCAAAAGGGACTGGGTCAGGGGCATGGTGGCTGTATGTCCCCACAGGGTCTGTGCTCAGGTCACCTGAGAGACCCCTTACATGGGATGACCCTCTGATCCAGCACAACAGAGACCAAGGGTGTCAGGTAGGCACAGCCTCAGCTCAAGCTCAGCCCAAATGAGCCTAGGAGACAAAGTGCCAGCCTGTAAGAGAGAGCCGATGGCTCTTGTTATTTTAAGGATGGAGCAGCAGCAGAGAGAGCCTCAGGTGGGGAAAATTGATTATTATGAGCTGCCAGGGAACAGGTATTGGGGGAAGTACCTGATGCCAGCCCTTAACACAGAACTGGCTATACTACTGCAGCATGTAGGCTAGAGCTTTGCACAGATAGAAGCACAGCAGAGATCAGCAGCAGGGAGTCACCCTAAGGTTGAGCCAACAAGGTGAAATAGGAAACACCTGTTGCTACCCAGGGAGGCACCTGCCTGACTGGGGCAGGGCCTGGGAGATGTATGAACACAGGCCCTGAGCCCAGAGGGGCAATGTGTCACTCTAGGCTGCTGGGACAAGAGCTGCAGGGCAAGGGGCATGCAGGTGCTCTGCTAGCTGGCACTGGGCCTGTCATGAAGGAAGGCCAACAGCGTGCAGGTGTCCACAGGGGAATAGCACTGGGGCCAAGGGGAGTCTTAGTCATGCAGGCAGTTAGCTGTGGTTTGTGTTTGGACTCAGAGGGGGTTTAATTTGTGTTAACTAAAAGAATTACTCCTGCATTACAGCATCAACTGGTGGCTTGCGAGTGACTGAATGGGGAGTGCAGGCCATGGTGGAGTTGCTGAGTAGTGCCTGGGGGTTTAAGCCAAGGCATAACACCACAGGCCTGCCAGTGTTTACAGCCCATCTAGCGGCCTTGATTTAGGGCATAGCATAGGCCCAGGCCTCGGGGGATGCGGGAGGGAGGGAGTTTAAATCCAAAGAGAGGAAGAGAGAAAGAATGGAGCTGTGCTTGGGCAAGAGCTGGGCAAGGGCCAGAGTCAGGGCCAGGGGATCTGGGTAAGAAAAGTCCAGAAACAAGGGCCAACAGGCCTGGCAGGCAAAGCAGGCTCTGCAGTATATTGCATAGGACAGGGCAAAGGGAAAGCCAGATTAGGCAGTCAGGGCCAGAACCCAGCACCCAGGGCCTAGGATAAGGGAACCCCAGAGAAAAAGGGGGCTGAAGCTGGGAAAGCTGAGATCCTGACAAGGCTATAGAGGCCTGGGGTGGCCTGCTACTGGATTGGGGCCAAGTGCTGTCTGAAGTCATTGACTGGTAACAGCTGTGAGGCATGGGCATGGCTATAGGGGATTTCAGAGGCTATGGTTAGCCCTTAAGGCTACAGATGCCTTGGCAGAAATATCTGGCATTTAAGCTCACTGAAGGACCTATTAGGCAGCCTTCTCTCTAATCAAGCAATGACATTGAGGCACAACAGGTGAGTTCGGGGCAGTGGTGGGGCAGCTAGGGCTGGAGTTGGGTAAGAGTTGTGTGACCACCAGGGGTATTGTAGTCCCCCTGGAGCCATAACCTGACTACACCATGCCCTTTCTGCACATGCATGGGACAGGGAGCAGCCCCACAGGGAGCTGTTTGGACCACATCCAACCTTCCCCTGTCCCTGCCCCAACTATTGGACCTGGATAGAGCGAGCCTCATATGCACCCGTGACTGACCTGGACAGCACAACCCACATCACAAGGGCCCCAGCAGACAGCAGCAGTCCTATGGCCACGGCCATGGCCACGGCCCATGGCATAATCCCTGCCTGCTTGGACTCTGGCTTTCCTGCAAGACAGAAACTGATGCTATTGTCTGCCAGAGAGAGAGGAACAGGGGAAAAGCCCTGGTCAGACCCAGGTCACTCTCCCTTTCAAACTCCAGTCCCTGCCACCAGGTGACACAGCAGATGGGTAATATGGACCTGGGGTCTGCCCCAGGATACAGCAGCTTTTCTGTCCTTATGATGAATCAAGTTGGCAGGGCCTGGTGAAATTCACCCTGGAGAACATGGAGGTGAACCATCTTATGGGTCTGCTTGGGACAGACCAAGTCCAGAGGCCTGGGGAAGGGCAAGCACAGAGCTTGGCTGGAAGCATCATTCCTTGCTCTTAAACAGTGGTTCTCTGACTTCAGGAGCATCACACAATTCCTCTCTGAAAGATGAATGGCAGAATGACACAACCCCATGCACCGGATTGCATTGAAGTGTGGAGTGGTTCTGTGGCTGGATCTAGCACACGAGGTCAGGCTGGTTAACAGGATCGGGCCTCAGGCAGATGCAGTGTACAAGGTCCACCTGTCATGTGGCAGACACAAGGCCTGGCTGTTGGGTGTTGGTGAGGGATGTGCCCTGGCCTGGCTGGGAGGGGTCTGAGGCTGTGGGATGATTGCTAAGGAGTGCTGAGAGCCCTTGGCCTGGAGCAGCTCTACCAGGGGTGGAGCACTGCATGGGGACCGGTCCTGCATGGATCCCTATCCAGCCAAAGGGACAGGGGTATCAGGGGCTCCCCAGCCCCCAGTGCAGGCTGGTTGCACCTAGCCTCATGGGGAAGTCACAGGGACCCTGAACCCCTGCAGGAGCCTGGCCTTGGACCTAGTGTTGATCCAGGAACATCTTAGAGGAACAGCAGATGCAAGATGTGGCTATCGGGTGGCATGGAGGGATCAACCTCTTCCTGCTTGTCTCACTGCTGTAGAGCTACAGCCCCCACGCCGCCCATCTGGCTGTTGGATGCTCTTGGTTTCAGTCGTAGCAGGGATGCAAATTCCTGAGGGAGGGGGAGGAACTTGCTTGTCCTCTGTCCTGTGTAACCCTAACCTCTCACCTGAGGGAGCTGGCATTTTTAAAATTGACCAACCAGCATCAGCCGTGCTCTGCGAATAATGGTTCATGGCTGGTCCAAGGGATGAGGTCAGAAAGGTTATTTAAGTGTCCCTCCATCTTGGAGGCGGGAGGAGAGACATCTTGAAACTCATTGACACACAATGAATGGCCAGCCTCCAAAGGAAGCTCAGTCAGTCTCTAGATGTTACTTGTGAGTAACTTACCTGTAACTTATCTAGAAATATAGCTTACTGTAATGTAGAAGCATAACAACAGGTTACCAAACCATACTGTTTGCTCTGGGCTATTCTGTACCCTTCCCCAAACCTACCCTCTTTAACCAATAAAGCTCTCCCCTGTAACAAACTTGGATGGGAGAAGGATTAGGCTTGCCTTTATGCTCCCTCTGCTTGGCTGACTAAGGGAGGCTACTTTTTGTGCTTCAGACTAAAGGAGTGCCCAGGTTCTCACATTGGGTCAAGCACCCTCAAGGTCTACAAGGCCTATGCACCCCAGGGGACATAGGGTCTGAATAAAGACCAGACCGTCGGGTGGTGGCAGCACTTACCACAGGCTTGTGGGTGTGTTCCAGGGAGGAGGTGGCCCAGATGTGAAGCACCCCAGGGGAGGCACTCGTTGCTTGGTAGTTGGTTGGGCACAGTGGGGCGGGTGGCTCAGTGCAGGAGTGCCCCCTACTGGCCTGCTACAGGCTGCAATAGGGAACATGGTTTCCCACTGTCCTCACCAGCCACTTCAGTGAGGCCAGGGACTTCTCTTGGACTGAATGGCCCCCTGCAGGGGGCTTTAGCTAGGGCGGTAGTTGGTCAGGCAATGAAATACCCACCATGAAGCTGGGGAGCCAGACAAGGGCTGGTGCTGGCTGTAGCACACTCCTGACACCCCAATGACATGGATCAGAGC